TGACAGCCATGTGATACAACTGATGCTGTAGGCTCCTGCAGGGGGTGATGACGTTAGCAGAGGGCAACGCAGCTAAATCCGTTGTTGTTGTTGTTATTGTACCATAACTTCTACGTCTTTACTCGCTCGTCTGCAAAAATGTACTGACCAACATGGTGAAGTTGCGGTCCCATAAATTCCATGACGAGGGGAGGGGGGGGGTATTCGTCCACTAGTGTATTGACAAAAGTGCTTGTACTTGTACATAAAAGGTAAAAGCGCAGCCCTGCAATTGCTTGCTCACGCCACTGCTGGCAGAAGGGGGCCTCCGCTAGATAAATAGTCTCGCCGACTCTTCCACCCTGGCCAGACTTCTTGGAAGATTTGGGAGTGTCCCCGACTTTGCTCCACCATGCACGGACCTGTCGATTGACTGACCGTGGTGCACGGTTTGTACCGCTGGGGCGGACCAGACCCTCCCAGGGTAGAGGTTGTCTACTTATTTAACTTTGACAAGAGCACGGACTGTACCAAAGGAAGCGGCGGGCGGGGGGGGATATAGAAATTCCGCGGTGCCAAAGCCCCGAACTCTGTGCTCTGGGGTTCAGGAGAAGGGAACGATGATGGGCTCCCTGCCCCACTCATGCGGAGACTAAACGGGGGTGTGGGGAGGAGGGGGAGAGGATGGGGGGAGTGTTGATTTTATTTGAAAATGTATCATTTAAACATTCACAGATATGAATTCCATTTAAAAGGGTGGCTCAGATGTCCCGGGCACTGCCACCTCCGAGGAGGGACACACTACGGATGCAGTCATGTTCCTGGTTCACGTTGGTTGTCTTTCATCACCCTGTGAGAACCCCATGTGGACTGCAAGTCTCTTTCGCGAGCGTGACCTGGGGTTGACGCATTACTGTGGATGGGTAGAGAGTTTAGAATGTTTCTGATGGCCCTTTAAAATGTGCGCGGGAAACAAACAAACCAAAAAAAGCACTCGAAGGTTTTTCTGACCTCGTTCCCAAGGCCGTGAGTTGCACGCGGCTTCTCATCAACACCGCAGGTCTCTGGTTCATTCCGGTCAGAATGAGACCCAACTAGACTGTGCACACAAATACTCTTGTTTCTAACAAGGTGGGTGTTTGTCATTGACAGACTTTTTCCGCAAAAGCTGCGCATTTCTCAAAGTTTATACGGAACGGCCGGTCAACCGGTCTCCCGGCACGGGCTGTTGCCACGCAGCCGCGTGTTTCACCCCCACCTAACACAACGTGGCACTGTATATCGTTGAGAGCCAGGGGTTAAACAAAGGCACCACGGTGGCTAGGAGATGTTAACTATCTCGCCTGGTATACAGGAGGTCGTGGGTTCGATCCCGACCCTGACGACTGTATACTCGGAGTTTGCGTGTTCTCTCCGTGGTCGCGTGGATTTCTTCTCCTCCGATTTTTTTCCCCTCCATTTAGAATCAACATGCGTTGAAGAGCATTTGCCTGCTATACATTTCCACGTAACAAGCCACTTCGTTGAGCTGATGTCATTTGTGCCCAGGTCCCTTCTGAAACAAAAAGTTATACAGCTCAGTGGGCCACATACCTGGTGAAAATAAAATAAAAAGTTAAAATAGCAAACGTCTGCCCTGTGGCACGGCGTGGCTTGCACTACGGACATGCCACGTTGCAGCAGGTTGCAGAGGCCGCCTGCTGCCTGTAATTTAAGCTGGCACGGGTCTCGGTCGTTCATCTGTTACCGGGTGACCTGACCCCATCGCTGCTCGTGACCGTGCCCACAAACAATCCATGCCACCGGCGATTTGATAAGTTTCCACCGATTTGAGGTCGCAGGTTAATTCCAGAATCGTTTATTTTCCATCATCTCGTTTTTGAATTGTTTCTGTTCCTTTTGTAATTTTTTTGTATTGTTTTGTTTGCTCCATTCGCGTGAGTGTAACGATGTACGATTTCAACAGGGCCCCAAAGTTTAAACGGAGTGCTCTTGCCAATTACAGCTGGTAACCCTGCAGCATTTGTTTAATGAGCCTGGCTTTAGCTGATGAGACCCAGAAGGTGGACACGGATGCAGAGTTTGCTGCAGTTTAACAAGTTCTGCTGGGTAATGTTGGTTTGTACAAACTGAAGAAGACTGATGGGACTAGAACTATTTCTGTGTGGTGACACAGAACAAAGTTCTGCTTGTTAATGGTTTGCATCTAATTTGCATACGTAATTATTAATCACTTCTCACACACGTGACTCAATGCTCGCAACATTGGTTTAAGATGCCGTTTTGAATGAATGAGTCGGTCGTTGTTACTTGAATAGTATGACTACTGCAAGAACCATGACATAATTTTTGGGGGGGTTTTGAAAACCAAAAAATGAGAACCTCAAAAAATGAAAAAAATAATTAATCACGTGCAGATTGCAAAACTATCGTCACGATAGTGCTTGGATGGTGTGACCGCCATACATAAGATGTCTTAGGCCGCTGCGTGGCTACGTGTCAGGCAGCAGAAGGCAGTGCTGCAAAATCCATCGCTGTACTCTACTTCTATGCTCTAACATGAATGCTCTCTGCCTTCACCCACGTGGTAAAGCAGGATCAAATAGCCCCCACGACCCGCATGGCATAGGGTGACCCTCATCTAGCAGTGGATCCACAAAAGGACCATACATGTGCATGTCTCTCACACAAAGGAATCTGCTGTCCAGCCCAGGTGCCCAACTGGGACTGAAGGGATAACCCCGCTTGGCCTGGCGTGAGCCTATTTTAAATCTTGGAAGTGCCAATGGCAGCTGACTTTGCCCGGCCCACGCTGCTGGCATCCTTTATCATTTATAGACCCAACTGTACCGTGTCGGTCCCTGCGGACGGACGCTCTAAATTGGGCTCGCATTCCTTTGCCGGGCCCCTTCGGGAAAAGAAAGAAAGTGCAACAACGTGCGTTGCACGTGCAGCTTCGCTCACTAGCACAGGCGGCGGGGGGATGTCTGGCGCTCACGGCTTGGAAACATTTTTGTGTTCGAGCCCGGATGTGCAGTTTTTGTTGTTGTTGTTAAGTCACAGTTCCTATGACCACTGTTTCATTGCTTTTATGGCTTTATTTTGGTGATTTTCTAAAAGTTTTCTGGTTTGGCCATGTTTGTTTGTTGTAGTACAGAGTTAGACTGATGGCCTTAATCTAATTTGTCTTGTGGTTGTTGTTGTTTGACTTGCATCCCACTGGGATATTTGCACAGGGTTGGTGTACGGTGATTTTTCTGCAATATTTTGCTGTCTTTTCTTGGATTTTCTGTTTGCACATAGTCAATTTAAGATGTTTTCTTTGCTCACAGGGCGATACCTAATAAATGAACTTTGAACCAATCGCTCTACCGCTGGATGGGAGGTGATGGGCCTAGCTGAGTGGTGATGACATTGGGGCCGTCGGCCTTTTGGCGCCGGGCGTACCTCGTTCGGGGGTTTCCTGCTTTCACGAGGGTGGGATGCGGGGGTCGGCCATCGATTTTTAGGGGGGCCCCGAGTGATCGGCTGCCAATAAGTTTGTTGATTAAACCGACCTAATTGACACTCATTCGTCGCAGCTTACAAAAAATGTCATCCGCCTCTGCGAGGTTTAGAAATAACGGCGCATCACATTGACGACACGGCTCTCTCTGTCGCTCGCGCTTACAGAGAGTGGAGCATCGCACCGCACAGCGCTTTCTGTATTCAACATTCTTTTGAGTTTTCAATCAGTGGTCCATATTTGTTTTATTATATATATTTGTTTTACCCGTGCACAATGCAATCCCGCGAGATGCTCGCTAATTGAAATTGCATCCGGTTTGAACCTCGGGAAAATGATGATGAACCCGAGGGTAAACTAATTAAAGATTGTTTGCCTGCTGTGGATTTCCCCCCCCCCGTATTTCTTATTACATTAATAATGCTTTTTTCATTCCCCCCATCTGCCCTGCCTTTGGTCATCATATGTCAGGCACACAGTGTGAGCTGGGTTTAATATCCTAAAGAGCTGCAGGATATGTCTTCTGGATCCAATCGGAGGATGCACAGCCCTGCCTCTGTGGCTCTTTGCTTGAGTGTTGCTCAAGGGAGGGGGGCACGGCTGATAGCCGGCCACCCCATTGCCTCTCACTGGCAATACCCCCTATACCTCACACAGTTCTCGCAACGTCACCACAGTTCTGACTCCAGGTGCTTGAGATAGTCGTTTGACTAACCAACGCTCTGGCCATCGCAGTAACTTGCCGAGCCGAAAGAATGTTACCAAAAATAATTCGCAGTCCTGTGTCAATCCTCTCCCAGTAAATATGCGAACGTTGAGCCAATGTTGGCACGTGGATGGGATCGTCGGGCCAACGTTCCTTGTTTACCGAGCTGCTTTGACGAAAGCCCCTTCCCGTTCTGTGTTGATTAGTTGCATAAATGTAATTCTTCTGTGTGTGTGCTGTGCTGTCCACCAGGTGTGCTCACGAATAGCCACCATACTATGATTGTGATGCAACCAAACATATTTCCTTACATTAGTAGTCGGAGTATGATGGCAAAGATATACGATGAGTTAAATGTGCTGACGTCGTATAATGGCTGGTGGACTTGAAACAATGGGGCAGGTTTCTTCAATCCCACCACCTCTGTCCGCTCAGCGGTGTTAATGCGTGCACCACCGGTAGTCGATCGGCAGTGTTAATGCGTGCACCACCGGTAGTTGATCGGCAGTGTTAATGCGTGCACCACCTCTGTCCGCTCAGCAGTGTTAATGCGTGCACCACCGGTAGTCGATCGGAAGGTCGCGCGTGGTGGTGCAGTAATGTGTGGGTACTTCCACCTTTTCCAAGACATCGGGTCAGCGCGGAAGAGGAGGCCAAAACACCTTTCTCGAGGGGATGGATCACTGGAGCTCCCTCTCGCGAAGGCATTTTACCAGCAGTGGCATTGACCAAGAAATCGCAGCGCTGCACTTTTGCCTTTCTACGTACAATATAAGCGTGTGTGTGTGTACGTGCTGTGTCATCCCTCAGGCGTGTACGTGCTCATGGGAGCCGGTGCGCTCATGATGCTCATCGGATTTCTCGGCTGCTGCGGAGCCATCCAAGAGTCGCAGTGCATGCTGGGATCGGTGAGGGCTGGGTCGCGGACGCGAGCTGCACGCCGATGGGGCGAGAGATGCCAGAGTAGCATTAACGACCTTTATTTATCCAGAGATATCGCAGAGTCAATGCGACTTGTTATCGAGGGTCCTGCATTGGGTTGTATCGAACAATTTCATGAATAAGTGCTCGTTTGGCTGCATGTGGGAGAAGAGCAAGGGTACATGAGAATCAGAATCCCGATGAGCTATGAAGCACTTTTTCACGGACGTCCAGCAGCGATAACCCATGGAGATAGCCCACCATGGATACGAAGCTGGTGACACGCAACACTCAAACGCGGATGGGTTCAAGAATCTATTACCTCGCTATCATCTTCTGACCACCTGGCAGCGCTAGCGAGTGTGGGCATGGCAGGGCAGGGCAAGTGACGCAACGGGAATGGAAGTCTTAAAAAATAATCTGGATGTGAGAGTGATCAGAGTGGAAGTGAGGTTGTAATACGAAGGCATAATGCAATTTATATCGTGTCATTTATGCAAAACTGCATCTCACAACGCTGTACATGACAACAGCAACAACAAAACATTGTATACATATTGCCCCACGGAACAAAAAAACATGGCACACACAAACCAAGGGCAGCTCAATTGAAGGCCGTAATAAACAAAGGGGTTTTTAAGTGGGAGTAAAGTAGAGTTAGGTTGACGAATGTGGAGCGGGCGTGCGTTCCATTCCGTGGGAGCTGCGCTTGGGAAGGCACGCCCACCCACTGTCTTGCATTTTATTTTGGGCTGAACGAGCAGCTCCAAACTGGATGAACGAAGTGCCCTGGATGGGATGTAGGTTGCAATTAGGGGAGATGGATAGGCCGGGGCAAGTCCATTCGCAATTGTGTGCACCATCAGTGCAATCTTAAGTCTGATTCGAAAACAGATGGGGAACCAACGAAGGGGATTTAGAATGAGGCATGCATAGCAGTGAAATGTATTGCACTTCAAGCAGAACATAAGGCAATGCCACCTACAGCATGAAACCTGGACAAATTGCACGGCGGCGGTGATGATCGTTGTGGCGATTGTGACAATGGCGTCATATTTTAAACCTCCGATTAGCATGGGTGGCTACGTACCGCGCGAAAGAAGCTCAACGTACGTACGTAACGGTTCGCTCACTGGGCTTGCATTCCACAGATCGCCGGTTCAATCTCACGGCGTGGCAATTGAAGCCGCTGTCCAGCAAGCAGTGTAAATGGGGTTCACCACAGATAGTCGATGGGCAGGTTGCCTCTGGTGGGGTGAAGTGTGGGTGCTCCAACATCTTCCAGTACATCTCACCAGCCCAGTGTGGAACAGGCCAGAATATTGTATTGCGGAGGCCTTCCCGCCAGCAGTAGCGAGATGTTAACTACCTCTCCTGGTATGCAGGAGGTCGTGGCTTTGACCCTGACCCTGACACCTCTATATTTGTAGTCTTAATGTTTTCTCTCTCTCCCTGTGGTCGTGTGGATTTTTCTCCAGGCCCTCTGATATTTCTCTCCCTCTTTAATAACACGCATTATTTCACTGCTATAAATGTCCACATAACAAGCCACTGCGATTGAGCTATCATTTGTGGCCAGGTCACTTCTGAAAAATAAGCTACATAGCTCAGTGTGCCTTATCCGGTAAAATAAAATAAAAGTTTAGTTTACCTTAGCTTTTTTCGATCGTGTTATAACCATGACGCTGAATTCGGAGCACTGGTGCAGCTGCGGGTTGCGAGTTCTTGTGTTTGTTGTGTTGCCTGTGCAGTTCTTCGTGTGCCTGCTGGTGGTATTTGCTGCCGAGATTGCAGCTGGAATATGGGGCTTCCTGAGCAAGGAGCAGGTAAATACAAATCGTGTTCTTTTCTCTTTTTTTACGCTTTTATTTAACTCACTCTGTCTGTTGTATCCTCCACTCTGTCTGTTGCCGTATTCTCAAATCTTGTAACTAAATTTTAACCCACTTCACAATGTCGTATCGACTGCAAACTTGGTATACGTATGTCATACTAATGACAATACTATATTCAATCATTAAAAAAAAAATTGTTAGCAATCATTTTATATCTTATGTTTCGGTTTGGGTCTAATTGTCCACGCTCAACTCACGTTGGCTGTAAATCACCACAGTCCCTTACGCTATGGCAAGCTTCAGGGCCACTTCCTGGAGTCGTGGAGTTCTGCCATTACTCGTACGATACATTTCATTAAAGCATGTTTAAAAAAAGTTTTTTTTAAATATTACTTATTTAACGCATAATACCTGGCGTGTGTCAGTACACGAGAGAGACACAAAGAGCAATACATGGATATGCACACACAGGTTGACCCTTTCCCGTCCAGAGATGTCTGCAAGTTGCTGGGTGGGGTCCTGTTACACGTACGTCATCGTAATGCAAAAGCGTTAATGACATCATTCAAACTGTTAAGGAAATTAACGTGGGCTTAGGTTAGAGAACACACAGATAACATCATTCTTCCTACACCCTAAGAGATCGGGCACATTGCAGGTGATTTGGTCATTAACGCATAAACAAAAATATTCTCGCTAATAGCTCCCATTATTAGTAAATTATGAAACAATTTTTTTTATCTTACCCGGTAAGGACCACTGAGCTATATAGCTCAACAAAGTGGCATATCATGTTGAAAAAACCGGAGGACCCGCAGATAAATCCACGCGACCACAGAGAGAACATGCAAACTCCAAATATACAGCAGGCATCATGGTCAGAATCGAACCCACGACCTCTTGCATACCAGACGAGGTAGTGAGTAACCATTGGCAGGATGCGTCGTTAAAGCCGATTGGTGGTCCGATGGTCAACAGTAGTGATGGAGTGGCAGCCAAGGAACGGAAGCTGTCTGAGAAGTCGTTTACCAGGGACATGGAGCAATGGTATCAGCTCGTAAGCAGGCGCTAGGCGGACTAGTGTATCACTGGAACGTGCGAGATGGTGGAGACTCGAGGAGGCCTTCATCCAGGAGTAGATTGACCATGGCTGATGATGACTATGATGTGGTTTTGTCGAGTGATTTCCCTGCTGGCTCCTATCCCTTGACACATATTCCTAGGACACCCCGCCCTCGAGTTATTTCCATCCGTGTGACATTGACTTCAAATGGGACCAGTGTATTGAGTGAGAGCAAGATAATCGTGTGGGTTGTTGCTGCAGTGTATGATTGGAGCAGTGCTAATTATAGACAGAGCAGCCTAGGGGCTTAGGCAGAACCATTAGAAGACTTGATCAAAAATCTAGGTCATGTAATTGATTCTGTAAGATCCCGTTACACACAATGAAACTCCTTTTTTTCTGTGTTCCTACTATCCGATACTCCTCGCATCTGCACCCCATAGTCCGATCTGCGTGACAATTTTTGCCATTCGTCATCATCACCAGAAATTGTCTACCCATTTCTGGATTAAGTGATGTCGCCATGCCGTCGTATTTCAGAACTGCAACCATTTGTCTCGCTCCTACATGCGAACTGACGCCATCGCTCCACCTTCCGAAGTGGTCGCATTCTCTCCTCTGTCTGTCATTTCATCGCGAGCCTCATCGATCAGCCATCATTCTTGTCAGGCAGTGATGTGTCCTGCCCCAAGCCCAGCCTAAATGAAGATTCCGATTAACTTTCTTCTGCCATTACCCGTGTTTAAATGCGGCTCACGGGAGTTGAGCGGCAACTTAGTCCTGTTATCCGTGTTTAAAACACGAATTGGAGGAGAATCTCTCGTGTTATTGCTGCCACTGATGGTGATTGTTATCATCATCAGTCATCGTTATTTGTTGCCGCTGCTGCTGCTGATGATGATCACTACCAAAGCTGTCACCACAAGCGCTACATTCATTCTATGCTATCAATGAATCCATTTTTATTTTACGTGCCAATATCAGCCCTTAATAAAATAGGCATCAGTGCACATTACAACATAACGGGAACGCTACCGGAGGCATAGAGCAACAGGAATGTAAATAAAACCCTATTATTTCTGTTAAGATACGTGCGGCTAAAGAGAGTGACTGAAGAGTTATTCATCCTTTCCTCCGCCTTCATCTGTGATTTCCAATGCTTGATAGAAGGAGCAATTTGCATGAGTAAACGCAGATAATATAATCCAGGACTAGCGCCACCATCACATCACCTCTGATAGGTCGTTTCACTGTTTATTGAAGTAATATGTAAATAACAAAAAACGTGCGTTGCATGGCTGAAGCCAATTTTCTCAAATTAATCGTTAAACATCAATGTCGGACCATTATGCCACAATGCACTCTCGCTGGGTTAACACATTTTACGTGGCATCGCCACAAATGCGTGCCGGGCTGATCTGCAGCTGAACGTTATTAAAACCCAAAGGTTTTGTTTAATGAGCTCGCCAATGCCCACCCTGCTAACCTCGCAGATCCCGCAAGACATGAAGAAGTTCTACACGGATTTGTACGACGAGTATCAAGAGAAAAAAACCGACTCCTCCAAGGCTGCCCTCATCACCTTCCACAAGACGGTACGTGTCCCTTTTGCCATTTCAATAAACGCTGCATACACAAGCGCAGCCTCACGTTGGCTGGTTTTCTGTATTGCGTAAAATTAAATAACAACGACGTCTCAGCTGCAGTGATACATCAACAAGCAAGCGTGTGTGCGCTCCTTTCTTATGTTAAAACAAAATAACATTTTGGTACATCAGCCGATGAGAATTCTGCACTGTTTCCAGCCACGTTTGTTTGCACAGGTGAACTCTGGACCAATGTATTGACTTTCCTGAATGTTGTCAGTGTTCAAGGCCGATAGATGAGTGGTGCTGTGTTGTGTGATGTATGAAGGAGAAAAAAAAGCCCTCCATGAAAACAGTTAAATCTGACGACTGCCAAATTGTGTGAATGTACGCAAATCAATAATGTGTTGCGTTAACAGACTATCTAAAATGAAAATGTGCAACCATTCACCAACTATTATTGTCTTAATTGTCGTAAAAAAAAAAAACATTTGCTCATCGATTATCCGGCGGCAACTTCCAACATTATCTGGCAGTCCCCGGTTTGATCCAAAGGCTGTAACCAGTCCGGCGATCGGCACCAACGTGCATGACAAAAAAAACAAAGTAGCTGTACATTATACACTACATACAACTGAAAGAATGAAAATACTACACGTTTTTAAATCCTGTATATTAAGTTCACTTGCTTGCTTGCCCGCTTACGACCGTGCAAATCTTTCGGTCGTTTTTTAACCCACTTCCCGTGATCCAATCGAGCTGACATTTTGCACACAGACTCATTGTGTGTGACAATTAATTTTCGTGAAAATTTTTTCCTAAATTTTACACTTTTTAGGATTTTTTTTTTATATTTAATTACCAATTGCTTAATGATGGCAGGCAATCATCTAACCCATAGGTGGCAGCCATCTCAAGCCAGAGGACGAGAGGACTCTAGCCGCCACGCATATAAAAGATTTATAGTGAAAAACTTTGTTTTTACGGGTTAATTTTTTTACATTTTCACGACTAATAACTGCAGCCGTACAAACGGAAACTATACAGTGCGACCCGGCGAGAAGTGCATCTAATTTGGCGTTCACCAGAGCACCGGTCTTTTGGCAGCATCAGTCCGGCGATCGTCAAACACATCATGTTGTTCAAACAAGAGCGTAGTACGTACATCGCCCCGTGCAGAGTCTTCGAGATTGGAGTGGTAAGTACGGTGCAGTGAATACTTTTTTTGCAGTAGGATATTTATTTGTGTCTATGCGTATGTATTTCGTTACAGCTCAGCTGCTGCGGCAAAATGGTTATCACCAGCCTGCTCAACTTCGACTACCAAGACATCTGTCCAACTCAAAAAGTTACGGATCCAACGGTGGTAAGACCTCGTTCCCATTTTACTAGCAATATTTTCTTTAATTAAATTTCATCAGCGATAAACAAATGTACGTGCAATGGCAGGGCTTTTGAGGCAGTGTAACAGGGGAGGAGAGGGAACAACTGCAAAACGAACATGAGGTGCACGGCAATGTCAGAGTCTTACGTGATGGGCGGCAGCTGCGAGAGGGGGCCTCAGGTGTTCTGATCAAGTCTTCACGCACTACCAATCACAGGAGCTCCAGTGTGCAGCCCATTTAATTCATTCGGTTGAACCAATTGTCAAAAACTGGATCGATGTTCTCCTAAGAATGATGCTGTTTAGACAGTCGATTGTACAATAATCTATCGTAAACTAATAATGGGCAGACGCCTGTCAATTTGACTGCTGGATAAAGGCCTTCTCACGTTGCGTTTGTCGTGGGGCTTGTGTGACCATAACATTGAACTAATTTATTTTGTATTTTACCAGGTAGGACCTACTGAGCTATATAGCTCTTTTTCCAGAAGCGAACTGGCCACAAATGTCGATTTAAAGCTTTCGTGACTGCAGGGATTCATCTTCTTGGTTCTTTCTGTAAAGTCACGTAGAAGTGAAATAATAAAATGAACAGGTCTGTCTTTCCGACAGACCTGTTCTTCACCTGAGGATGGCTGCTTGCGTTGTGGCCAAAACGTCGTGAAAATTATCTTATTATGTTTTATTTTTATTATTTTATTATTTCCCTTCTACGTGACTTTACCGAAAGAACCAAGAAGATGGCCACAAATTATAGCTCAACGTAGGGGCTTGTCACGTGGAAATGTCTAGCAACCAAATTCTCTGAACGCAGGTTTTTAAATGTGGAGGGGAAAACCAAAGGTACCCTGAGTAAAATCCACGCGATCCCAGGAAGAGAGACCTACAAACCCCAAATATATAGGCATCAGGGTCGGGATCGAACCCACGACCACTTGCATACCAGGCAGGAAGTCGTGCTTGAGCAGGATACATCATTGCTGGTTAGTGGAGTGGGGCTCAATAACGGGTCAGATATCATTTACTGCTGATGTTAGCCATAGACAGGAATCTTAACTCGGGTGACCAGGGTTATAGTGTTGTGCACTGACTAGTGGAGGGAGGTCCTTCTGCCAGCAGTGGTGTAAGCAAGCAATTCCAGGGCTGCACCTTTACCTGTGATGTTTGATGTAATTAGCTGTTTTTTTGTAATGTTCAGGAACTCAGAATTATTTTTTTTGGTAGATCCACCGCTTGACTTGAAAGTGACAGTGCGGACGGGAAATCAATTTGCGCGTTGTTCTTCCAGGACTGCATAAGGCAGATTGATGAAATATTCACAAGCAAGGTCTACATCATCGCCTGCATTGGCATCGGTATCGGAGTGATCATGGTAAGCGATATCGCCCACTTGTGCATTTCAATCGACCGTTTAAATGCCTCCCATTTACGAAACGCTGTTGCCTGATCGCGCGCAATGTTACACCCACCCTCTCACAGATATTCGGCATGATCTTCAGCATGGCCCTCTGCTGTGCCGTGCGCAACAACCGGGATTACATCTGACGGGGTTCCACGTGCCTCCGTAAGAACCGGCTTCGTCTGTTCCCGGTAACCGCAGCGTAACGGTTGAATTTTAACGCAGGGCGATCCAGTTACAGATGCTCAGATAAAATAACGAGGAATTTGTAAAAAAAAAAATATATAGTTGGACGCGTCCACTTTTATCCCACCGATTGCAATACATTCATCAAATCACAAATGTCACGCTCTGCTCTTTAAGGAACGGAGCCATCGCTTCTGAATACCTGTATTCAGTCGCCTGTTGAGAATAAAGAGGGGTCATTAGAATTGAGAGAACGCATCTTTAAGTGGATCACCCTGTTTTGATCTTTAACTGGTTCCGACAGTGATATCACCACAATCTGCACACAGGGAGGGGACCGTGTACATAGGGAATATCAACATTGTACTGCTCTAAGCTTCCCAAGTAAAAAAAATAATAATAACGACGAGAGACAGATGCACAAATACACCGAGAGTAAAGGTTGTGGAATCCATACGCTCCTCTTCTCGAGTCTGGCCTAGCAGTGGATGAACCCTGTAGGGGCCATACAATTTATGAAAACAAATATTTGACCAGGTAAGGGCCACTAAGATGTCTAGTTATTTTTCAGGAGCGACCTGGCCACAAACGATAGCTCACCCGAAGTGGCTTGTCACGTGGAAATTTACGACAGACAAATAGTCTCAACGCGTGATTCTAGATTTGAAGCTTTCGTGACTGCAAGGATTCATACTCTTAGTTATTTCGGTAAAGTCATGTAGGTAAAACAATGAAATTTAAATTAATAAAAATAAAATAATAAAATCACGACGTTTCGGAGGCAACACAAGTCTCCGTCATCAGGTGGGACCGTCAAGAACTAAGAGTATCAACGCGTGATGTCGATTCTAAAATGTGGAGGGGAAAAAAAAAACGGACGACCCGGAGAAAAATCCACGTGGCCACGATGAGAGAGAGAGAGAGCGACGCAAACTTCAAATAGAGAGCAGGCGTCGCCAGGGTTGGCCGCGACCCTTAGGGGAGGTGGCGGTGTGGCAGTGCCACGGCTTCCTTCGCGTGATTCCGCCCCCACCAGACGTGCCGGACCACCGGCCTACGTGCAGGCCCCCCAGGGGGAAGCCGGGATGGTCCTCACCCAGCAGTGAATAGACCATAGCTGGGGAAAGTAGAAATATGAAGTTGAATACAAACAGCGATTATTCAATTGGTTGTAGTAGTATGATGGTGACAAACACGCATCGGTCTTTGTCCGATAAACGCCTCTGCCACGGTACAAAAAACGTGGACTTTTTATTGATTTATTTTGAAGATAGGGAATAATCAGAGCAAGCTGTGGACAATGCGCAGCGTTCGCACGTGCCGCGCCATGTACGTCGGAGACGTTACAGAGCAGAGGTCGCAACCGGGAACCCGATACCCTACCCGATACCCGCCTACCTGTACCTGGCCGGGTACGGGTACCCGTTTGCGACCCTGGTGCGGCCGGGTACGGGTAGACCGTGAGTCACTGGTGAGTAACCGTTTGTCACTCATTACCCAACGTCTTGTCTCTTCTCACAATTCAAGTTCCTAGAATCAACCCACCCGCGCCTGCAACATGGCTTCATCCCAGAGGTCGCAATCGGGTACCCGATACCCGTAACCTACCCGTACCCGGCCGGGTACAGGTAGGGTACGGGTACGGCCGGGTACGGGTACGGGTACCCGTTTGCGACCCTGGTGCGGCTGGGTCCGGGTATGGGTAAAGAATCAAAACCCGTTTGCGACCTCTGTTACAGAGGCTTATCGTCGCATGGACGCACAACTGTGGGGATGGCCTGGCAAGTCGCCCCTGGGAAAATTTTAAATCGTAACTCTCTGCCTCACTTTAAAAGCCCCGTCTACATGGAGTAGCCTCATAAACGATTCAAAACGTTTACGTTACACGTTTGAAATGTAGATACGAGTCACCCTCCCGATCGATGGAAACATTTATTTTGATCTACCTGTAAAATGCAACAAGACTCCCAAGGGCTTCGCCAGCCACCTACTGGCCAGAATCAATAATTACCGCCCGGGTATATACATGTACAGTTGAAACTGATAGTTAATAGGGACCTCATTAACAAAACACACATAAAGATAAATACTTGGGGGAGTACCCATTTCTGTTGTGCCACATTGAGTAGTGGGGATGTTAAAGGGTAGATGCAATTGATGTTATTTTCAGCCCTCTTGTTAATCCACTGCTGGATGAAGGGCTTCCCGACACTGTGTTGGTCATGGAGGTTGTTTGACCATACTTCACCACCCTAGTCAGTGGGGATAGGTGAAGAGGGTGACACCCAGGACAGTTTTGGATACCGCTCCATCGCCATTGATTTTAGCCATGGCCGGGAATTGAACTCGGATGGCCATGTTTGACAGCACAGTGTGCTAACCACGGTGCCACCACTCTCTCTCTCTCTCTCATCCATATATAGCGTATACTGTAAAGAACGTATGCAGGCTGGGTAGTGGCTCGGTGGGTGGTGGGTTCAGTGAGCAGCTTGACATGCGACGTGTGACCGGCCTTCTGACTTGTTGGCAAACTGCTACAATGCGCACTTGAGTGGGAGTTCATTAAAGTCAGTGCCAGGAGGTGGCTGGGTGACTCAGTGGTCAGAGCGTTGAGCTGCCATCCGCTGAGGACCTGAGTTCGAATCCAGGCAGCCGCCAGTGGCTGACACGGCGTTGTCGAGTGTAGAGATTTATGGTCCCCAGCACGTTCGTCAAAAAAAACGAAATCCCCACCGCGTTAAATTTTGGCTGTGCTCTTAATTAAATGGAGAATTAAGGATATTATGAATATTAATTTGACTGTCATGCGGCAAAACATGACTCTTTATGGCATGGTGGCTGCGAAAGTTACTTCCACCTGCTGAAGAGATGTCCGAGGTCGATCTGTGGATACCTTCTTCCCAGGAGCACTCCCTAACACGCACCTACAATTAGCGCGGTTGGCTACGTACTGTGTGAAAGAAGTTTCACTTAACACCGATTGCTCAATCAGTATAACGTTGAGGGAATACATCACTAAACAAGCGTGAAGGTTTATACATATGGCTCCTCAATAACCTATTTAAATGTGTTTTCTGTTCACAGGTTGCACCAGGACTCATTGCAGCTTACTAAAACATTTACATTGGAATTCTTAAAATCAGCCTATAGACATATACAGTTATACGCCTGCTCATAGACGTGCATGACATTGGCTTGTTACTTTGTATTGTGTGCTAAAATAGAAGTGTAATTCATTAGGCAAACACATAATGATCGTAATATTTTTTTAATGCTGTATTAACATTTTTTTTTTTTTTAGAAACACGTACGCTGTAAAAGTCAAACGCTCTCAAAGTGAAGGATACACGTGGACATTTTAGATGTAGAGTGAGTCCAAATTTTACTTTTCGCGGGACCGTATCCATGTTCGTGCTATATGATTTTATCACCGGTGATTGCGTCTGCATCAAAGTGCTTCTGAAATTAAACTGTTGCTGTGCCTTTCTTAAACACACACACACACACACATATAAAAAAGAACACACCCTTCAGTGTATCCCACATCACATGCACTGCTTAATGGTCAGTTATATTGTGTACAAGGACTGTTTGTATTTACTACTTAGCTACTTATAATAAAGTCCATTAAAACAGCTACGTGTATCGATTTGTGTTCGTTTCATACTGATACTAGCTGTACTACCCGGCTTCGCCCGAGACTTGGATCCACCACGCCCGGCCGCCTTTGTCTCCCCCAGTGGCGATGTTCACACACCACGGCAGTTACTCGTTTGAGGCTGAGTCGACCTAGGGGAGGTTCAAATAATCGTCACGGGTGGTGGTGGTGGCCGTGAGCGGGAATCGAACTCGGGTCGCCGGGTTCGTAGCGCAGCGCGCTAACCACTACACTACAATGCGTTACGCTTCCACATGCGCGGGTCACGTGACAGAGTTGACGCCACAGCTCGTTTGCTGTGCAAAAACTATATGCATTATTGAGCTCCCCCCAAAAAAGTGTATTTTTATAATTTTGCATGGTGTACAGTCTGGAAAGTACCCACATGGCAAATTTCCAGTTTGTTGCATGTCGGGAAGTACGCTAAACATTTTGAACAGACACACATATTCACAACTTGGCCTTTTATATATATGGAGATTATTATGCCGTCAACAGCATCTATCAGCCATTGTCTATCCACTGCCGGATGGAGGCCTCCCCTATGCCTTCGCTATCCCTTAGTCCTGTGATGCCACAATTCGACCAAACACTCAACCGGCCAAGCCATATTGAAATCATGGCAACAAGGGCACGTCAGAAACTGGGTATCTCGGGGAGAAGTGGCTACCACCACCTCCGTTCTCCCCAAGAAGCCTCTCCACCATGTGTACGTGTGTGTATGTTGAACTTCTTTCGCACCGTACGGAGCCGCCCGTGCAAATCGGAGGTGCGTCGGAAGGACATCAAACTAAACACAAAAAGCCGTTCTAAAGAAATAAAGCCAGTGCGGGGCCTGTAATATACGTTATAAAGGGGCCAAATAAAACACACGTAAATATTAAACACATTTTTTTTATTTGCATAGTAAAGTAATTGTATTTGTTCATTTGCTATACAGCCAGATAATACGACAAATTGCTAACCTTAAACACCCAGTCGTTCATAAAAGTTGAAGGCGGTATAGTACTAAAGCGGCACTGGTCGCCCCTCTTTGATCGTCGCTGGGTCAGAATTGTGCAACTCCCGAGCGAAGGTCTTCGTGGACTGCGTCGGTTCAAGAAGGCTCCGTACCATCACCACCACCACCACCTTCTCGGGGCAACTAGGGATGGGCATTCATTGCTAGTCGATCAGTGATGCCCCAACATCCTAAATAATGAAATATACACTGCTGCTGTACGAGGTGTCTCCGCCTCATATTCTGTCACCAGTCGTCGTTGGCCATCGTCTCTTCCAGCCACGAAGCGGGTGCCACAGTCCGCCTGCATTTTTTCTCGCTCAATATGATCTGGTGTGTGTGTGTGTATGTATGTTGAACTTCTTTCGCGCCGTACCTAGCCAACCGTAATAATCGGAGGCGCAGAAGTTTCCTGGCCCCCTTGAGTTGTTTTTTATTTCTCGGCGAAATTCCGAGCATTCCATGCTTCCTTGCTTGTTTGAGCTCGTTTCAGCTTTAATTACATTTACTTGGTCAGAGTTCATGTCTCTCTGTTGTTTAAATGATCACAGTTGGGAATATATGCACCGATTGAGAGTCCTATTAAAACACCTCTGCGTGCTGCTTTTCATGAGCAAGCAACATTTTTTTTGTTCCAACGCCTCTTAATAGCGCACATCCAGCGAAATAAACTTACATGCACCTAATACTGAGTATGATCATCACAGTCCGTGTGTATGTGTGGGATTGCAAGCTTGTCCTCAATATGCAAATGTTAGCACCGGTTTGCCATGTGTTGACCACTTTGCACATCACTCAATCAAATCATCGGTCTCCACTATCGATTGCTATGCACATCCTTCCTCGTAAAGATTGGCTATCCTACGTGGTATTGACCCCTTAACTCGGTCTCGAGAGGCAGCTGCCGTTGTTGTGCAGAGCCCTAAAATCCTCGCAATATCGCTGTGAATATTGCTCTTTGAGAGGCGCCCCAACTCAATGTTCGGCAATGTGTTGAAATGGGCACAACCTGTCCAAGAGACAAAGATACCCCTCGTATACAGAGCCGGGTTAAGCTAGTGCGGGGCCTGTAGCATATGTTATAAAACACAAATATTAAAACACGTACATTTTTTACTTGCATAGTGAAGTAATTGGATGTTTTCATTTGCTATACAACCAGATACTGTAATACGACAAATCGCTAACCTTAAACACCCAGTCGTTCATAAAAGTTGAATGCGGTATAGTACTATAGTAATAGAGCAAGTGCAGAATCACTGAACCGGAATTGATTGCTTGAAAGCATTAAGCGCGGAGCCCTTGAAAGTGCGGGCCCCGTAGTTACTACACATATGTAGCTACTTTTGCTACTAGGGTAATCCGGCACTGCAAGTATAGCCTTAACAGACTGTTCGGGCAAGTTGCTGTTAGCGAGCACCCATCAAGGCCGTACTGCACAATACACCGTCAATATCCGACTCGCTGGGGACTGATGGTATAGGACAGGGGTCGGAAACCAAAAATAACAATAAGAGAAATGTTTTTGAATTCGGTAACCCCCCCCACCCCTCTATTCGAAAAGCCACAAAGGATGTGAATAACGTCCACGAAGCAGTCCTTAAAGAGGTACCGGTTGCCGAGCCCTCGTATTGGTGGATGTGTAAACACATCGGGATTTACAATAGAGGTTTTTTGTGGTTAGATCGCGTAAATATATAAATGTGTCGTTAAACCCGCCACCACCCGACACAGCCAACTAGTAAGGGTTGTCACGTAAGCAGAGCGTGCCAATTCGTCACTAGTACAGCACTAGTGTATAGTGTAGTGTATAGTAGTGTATAGTGTAGTGTATACTAGTACAGCACTCCGGTGTGTTGGAGAGCCAAGTCACAACATTTACAATCTGAGTCCGACGTTTCGCCAGTAATTACAACTAGCTTCATCAGGCGACAGCCATATTTGTGGAGAAGTCCACCTGTTTCGTTCCTTATATAGAGGCATAGATGTGGTGACCACGCTTCTGCGCTCTTGCGCAAAGTGTGTGTGTGTGTGGGGGGGGGGGGTAATGAGTCGACGAACATGATGCATGCGCATTATGCGAGCCCATTGATCTTGTGAATGTATGTATGTTGGACTTCTTTTGCACCGTACGTAGCCAACCGTGCTATAAATACATCGTGCATGACCAGTGGCGGCTCCTGCAAAATCTCTCAGGGGGGGCAAATGTCTGGATGATTGATAAGGATAAGGTCCACCCATGCAATGGATAAATTAACAGCTTAAGCATGTAAAGGCAACTTCACTTCTTTAATATTAATGAAAAATAAAGTGACTCTTACAATACATCTTGTTTGTTTCTATACTCACTATTAATACAATCCACTCAAGTTTCTTTTATTAAATATTCCACTAGGTGGCGACAAATTATATTGTTGGATGAAACGTGCTTACGTATGATGACGTAAGCACGTTAGTGCGAGCCCTCCCGGAAGCCATAGAGAATGCATTGCAGCGCCCCCCGTTCGAAAAAAAACATCTTTGAATGTAAGTCTATGGGGCCACTCGGGGCGATTCTCAGCCGGAGTGAAATCGCCCAAAAAGAGGCGGTACTCCACAGAACGTGACATGACGCTGATTGGACTATATCCAGAGGCACAGTGACGGCTAGCGTGACTCTGTGGTTGAATGACATTGGTGGTGCGTCGCCCAATCGCCCTAATGAAGAAATCGCCCCTGTGCATGACACAACTACACCGTGATATCATCTTCTTGGTTCTTTCGATAAAGTCACGTAGAATGGAAATAATAAAATAATAAAAATAAAACATAATAAAATAATTCTCACGACGTTTTGGCCACAACGCAAGTAGCCGTCTGTCTCCTCGACAGACCTGTTCTCCACCTGAGGACGGCTGCTTGCGTTGTGGCCGAAACGTCGTGAGAATTATTTTTTTATGTTTTATTTTTATTATTTTATTATTTCCATTCTACGTGATGACTTTACCGAAAGAACCAAGACGATGAATCCCTGCAGTTACGAAAGCTTTAAATCGAAATTTACACCGTGATACTCAAATAGATCACTGGATAAAATCACAGCGCATGCTGCTTTAAACATGGGTCAATCAAGCAATTCACACTGACGGAAGATCGTAATTGCGTCAATGAATGGCGATGGAAGATAATAATAATAAAAATTTCACTTTCCTAGGAAATCAATATTCTTTCAGGAAGGTCCGGCATCGGGATGTTTGACCAATTCCATTGTACGTATGTTGAACTTCTTTAGCACCGTACGTAGCCAACCGTGCTAATCGGAGGTGTTTGTCTTCGTGTGGGAGAAAACTGGAATACCTGGAGAAAACCCACACACGTGCGGAGACTTACACAGGTCCAGACCGACCGATACAATAATCAACTCACTGTAATACGATAACACATTACAAAATTACAATACATTCCGGAAGGCCTTTGTCATCCGATACCCCATGCTCTGGGCATAGCCCAGTCCATACGGCTCATCTCGTTATATTTTCGCACATCTCTTTCGAAAAATAAAAAACCGAGCTAAAACTGGATTCCACGATGGCAACCCCTACCAGTGACACTGCTGGGGCACGAGCCACCTCGCCAGCCACACCGTGGCGCTCTCTGATGCGTGCCTCCGAAACGTCGTGATTTTTATTTTATTTTACTTTTATTAATTTTAATGTTTTACCTACGTGACTTTACCGAAAAAACCTAAGAATATGAATCCTTACAGTCACGAAAGCTTCAAATCTAGAATGAATGTCGCACATCGTATCCCCACCGACAAATCCTTCTTGGCCGTGTGGAGATCACATCCGATCAAGAGTGGCGTGTAA